GAACCCAAACCTACCTGGTGGTGACCCTTTAAAAAGCTATTTCTTAGCCCTGGATAAGGATAAATGGTGAAGAGAAGGTCCACATCCCTTTATTCTGCAGGGCAAGCTCAATGCATTATGTCAGTGAAATGTCATTGTCTCGTTAACTATGAAATGCCATAAACCTTAATGACAAAAGATCATTGTTGTGATCGTAATTATGTAACTGTGATGCAATGTTATGACCAAAGACATTCCAGTGGTCTGAAATATATTCCTGCATACCATTGTGGTGCCTCAGTAAGGACATGCTAGCTTTAAAGTATTTTTGCCAAAATTGCAGTGGCAGCCTGGATTTTTTCAATTCAAAGGCACTTTGAAGTTGTATTAGAAACAGTCATGCACCATTTTTTTCAAGATAATGCTTTTGTCTTTAAAATAAGCCTACAAGTATTTTAGTTGGTTACCTCATCTTCTTTACTTCAAATGTCACTATGTTTTTTGTAATGTGACACCTTCCATTTTACTTTTTTCCTAGGCCAGAGTCTAACCTGGTGTGACCAGGACAACTCTGTTGACTTCAGCAAGGTTTTACTCGATTAAATTGTGTAAAATAGACCAACAAATCTGATTTTCGAAATAATCACACTGATACTTTTCTGAGCTAAAAACCCACAGCTGTACAGTAAGTAGTGCCCCAGCAAACCTGCCATACCAATCCAGGCTGACTTCAGCTGTAGGGGGTGAAATGGGTAGAAAGGAATGACTCCACTTCTTGGTTTGTTTTCTTTTTGCCAAGCGAAGAAAGTTGCTATTGTCATTAGTTTGTTTTGAAATGGATAGAAAATGCTGAGTGAAACGACTGAAGACTGAATTGCTGGAAACAATCTGCAAGATGAGTTCTGGAAGGCATCAGTCTCCATGTATATTCCCATGCATAGATCATGCCACCCTTAGGGAGAGAGCACATTGCTGCTGCAATGGAAAAACTGAGCAGTTGTGTCCTCCCAGCTTCTCCCTGTTCCCAGAGAAATCAAAGGAACATCCTTGTGGATACGCTTTGGAATGTCCTCCTCCTCACTTTCCTCACTTTTCTACCCTGGTTGTGTACGAGCCAGCTCTGTAATTACACCTCTCCCGACCACGGATGTCAGAGAATCATCCAAGGTGATCCCTCGTTCAGGATATCCAAAACACCAGAGGGCAGCAGAAGTGTTAAAGCAGAAATTGCAAAAGCCTCAACCTTTCCTAACAGAAGCACCTCTGTGAAGTGATAGAACAAGATTGTGTAAGAGGTTTGTGATGCCTTCACAGTGTTCACAGTGAAAGTGGTAGGAAAAACCCATGTAAACACGACACTACCTAAACTGTGCAGTGCTGCTGGAAGCTGTTGTGACTCATATGAATGAAAATGGAAGAGGAATACCAAAAGGTTGCTGAGAGTAATAGATGCAGGAGGTCTTTTAACTCCCAGAAAATCATAAAAGTGTTATAACTCTCAAAAATTTGGTGCTCTCTCCTTCACTGCAGATGTTAAATGCCCCTTTGCAACAGAGGTTGCAACTTCCACAGGTAGCAACACTTGCTAGTCCTTCTTGCCTCTTCCATCTACTGCAGTTAATTAAAATCAGGATGGTGAATTCTCCCCTGGTGAGGTCTGACACTCTCGAGGCAGTCCCGTGGCACAGGTGTCCACGAGCACCAACTCCAGTCCTCTTGTTGCCATTTGGGAAGAAAGAAATTCTGAGTCCTTTAAAAAGAAATAAAAATGTTGTGCTCCTAGCTGGGACTGTCTGTCTTTGAGTGTTCCTTCTAAAAAGACCAGCTCTGTTTGCCATCCTAAAACACTTAATCAATTTCAAATGAAAGCAGCAACTATAATTAAAGGGAGGAAAATCCCACCACAGCAGAGGAGCCATTATTAAGGTAATTTTTTTTCCTTTATAACTCCTGGGGCACTGTTCACATGCAGCTGCTACTGTATGTGCTGTTTGTGCGTCACCTTCTCCTCACGAGCTCCACAGAGAACATACTGTTAGCTTAATAATAACAATAACAACAATAATAATAAGTCAGCTTTTTATGTGAGTTATTCAAGGCACTGTGTAAGCACTAATTGAATGCTACAATAGCCCGGGCTGGCTGTGTGCTATTACCCCTTTTACAGCACATGCCATAGCAGTCCCATGACTTGGGTCACACCATGTAAGCAGCTCCTGTCCTTCAGCTCCTGGCCACCAGCTCTGCAAGCCACTGCCTCCCTCAGAACCATTCAAGCCCTGAGGACTGCCAGCCTGACTGCACACAGAAAACAAGCATTGAGACAGCATGATTTTTGTGTACAGAGAAAGTCTGGGGGTTAATTTCAGGTGTTATTCCTCTGTGTTTGTAGGAGAAAGAGCCTGTAGTGTAACTGGCCTGCCAAAGGACTAGCACTAACATAACAGCAGGGAACACAAGCAAAAGAGTTAATTTTATATATAGATATATATTCATAGATATATAGGGAAGCAGGGGAAGTCCTGCTTGCTCCACTAAAACGTCCTGATGGATCTCTCTCAAGTGCATTGATGACGCACAGCTCACGTATTTGATTTATATAGAGCACCACATTTTCCTCATCCCACCTTTAAACTTACAAAAGCTGACAAAAAGGTCGCTTTCCTCCCCTAGAGGGTCCCTCCTGAGACCTTTAGGAGTCATATATGGACCTTAAGGAGACCACCAGCAACAGGTGAAAACAATTACAGAATCACAAAATAGTCAGGGTTGGAAGAGACCTCTGGAGATCATCCAGTCTGACCCCTCTGCCAAGGCAGGGTCACCTGGAGCAGGTGACACAGGAACATGTCCAGGTGGGTTTGGAATGTCTCCAGAGAGGGAGAATCCACAACCCCTGGGTAGCCTGTTCCATTGCTCTGCCACCTTCCATGTACAGAAGTTATTCCTCATGTTGAGGTGAAACCTCCTGTGTTTTATTTTATGGCCATTTGGTCTTCATCCTGTCACTGGGCACCACCAAAAGAGTCTGGTACCAACCTCTGACACCCACCCTGGAGATATTTATATGCATGGATGAGATTCCCCCTCAGTCTTCTCTTTGAAGAGATTTTTACTGATTGATTGGAAATCTTCAGTGTGAAGCAGAGCTACACCTCTTCCACCCAAAGCATCACCTTATTTCAAGCAGTCTGACAAATCCAAATTTTGTGTCCCGGGGTGGAAGAGGAGAGTCACTGCCCAGTGTGCCATGGGCTGTGACAGGCGAGGGGCTCAGACTAAGAGGGACAGTTTTCCAGTCAGAAGCCCAACAGATGACTGAATTACCTGTCTGAAAAGAGCCTTGACCGACTGTAATAAAGAAGATAACAGATGTGGCAGTCATCATTCAAGACTTATTTTTGTGGCTAAACTGGAATTTGGCTCCAAATGTACAAATATTTTAGTCACCTGCAGGGTAACGGCTGAAGACTTGCATGTTAGAGCCCTGTGCATCTGCTGCTTCCCATTTGACCTTGAGAGGAGTCTCAGCTTCCAGGATGCTGAGGTTCAATCCCAAACAACCTCTTTCAGCCCTGGTGTGCCAAAGGAAAACTTCCCAAGCCTCACTTCCAGACTCACCAGACATAATGGTACTGCAGATATATTTTGAATGTAGGAGTAGGTTGCAATGGTATCACAGGGCTACATGTATATTTATAGGACATGGACCTGCTGCAGGGAGCCCAGAGGAGGCCACCAAAATGACTAGAGGGATGGAACACCTTTCCTCCAAGGAAAGACTGAGAGAATTAGGATTGTTCAGCCTGGAAAAGGTTTCAGGGTGACCTAATTGTGGCCTTCCAGCACATGAAGGGAACCTGTAAGAAAGATGGAGAGAGTCTATTTACAAGGGCATGTAGTGACAGCACAAGAGGGAATGACTTCAAACTTAAAGAGAGTAGGTTCAGGTTAAATATTTGGAACAAATTCTTTACTGTGGTGAGGCATTGGTGAGGGTGGTGAGGCACTGGAACAGGTTGCCCAAGAGGTTGTGGCTGCCCCATCCCTGGAAGTGTTCAAGACGAGGTTGGATGGGGCTCTGAGCAATCTGGTGTGCAGAAGGTGTCCCTGCACATGACAGGGGGCTTGGAACGAGATAATATTTATGGTCCCTTCCAACCCAAACCATTCTATAATCCTGTGATTACATATGGGCTCTTTATTACTACTTGTGTTGCTGCCTGTGCCCAGCTGGTGGACCCAGAGGGCTGCTGTCCCCACGCCGGGGTGGCCTCAGCCCTTGAGGGTTGGTCGGCAGCAGCCTCCCCGCTCCATCACACCCTGGAAAACACGGGCAGGGAAACCGTCCTTGCACGGGGGAAGGCGGGTCAGCGTCCCACCACCGGCACTAGTGGTGCCCACTAGGGTGGGCGTTCACAGGGATCGGGGATAAACGTCCCCCGCAGCGCCTGCAGCCGCACTTTTCCTGCTACCAGCGGGACCGTCCCTGTCGGTGTCCCCGACACACGCGGCTGGGAGTGCCTCTGTAGCTGGGGACAGCAGGACCCGGCACCCCCGCCGGGGGTCACCGGGGGCCACCAGGGCCAGGAGCTGTCGCCGGGGCGGCGCGGTGGTCGCAGCCGCGCTGCGGGGACGCTCCGTCGGGGAGCGGCCGCCCCGGCGGGGAGCGAGCCCGGCGGGAGGACGGGATGGGACGGGGTGGGCAGGAGACCCCCAACGACACCCCCCTCCCGCACACCCCTCACCCCATCCCACCCCATCCCTCCCTCCCTCCGCCCTGACGTCACCGCCCCCCCGGGTCTCCCGGGCGACGGCTCCATCAGCGCCCGCGTCAGCGCCGCCCGTTCCCTGGCAACGTCCCGGTGCCTTCGCTCCCCTTCAGCCCCGCGCCCGGGACCGCGTCCTTCTGGCGTCAAAGTGACGTCAATGGGCCCGTCTCGGCTTTCGGCGGTGGGCGGGGGGAAGGAGGCGGGCGGGGAGGGAGGGAGGGAGGGCGGGGTGTGCGTGGATGGAGGAGGGCGCCGGGAAAGGGCGGGGGGCCGGGACATCCCGCGTGGTCCCGCCTGCCCCCCGGTGCGCGCACACACACACACTCACTCACACAAACACTCACACACACACCCGCCCGCACACGCACCCCGCGCCCGCAACACACCCTGCGCCGCACACAGCGCATCTCATCGCATCGCATCGCATCGCCCCGCCAGGTACGGCCGCCCCGGCGGGCAAGAGCGGCAGCGCCGGCGGCTCGGACGGGGCTCTCGGGGCGCGGAGAGCCCGCCTGAGCCGTGCCGTGCTCCGTGCGGGTGCGAGCGGCGCGGGGCAGCGCGGATGCTCCCGTCCTAAAGGCGCGGCGAGCGCTGCCCGCGCCCCCCGCGCTGAGCCATGGTGATCATGTCGGAGTACGGCTCGGCGCCCGCGGCCGCGCAGCGGCCCCTGCGAGTCGGCTTCTACGACATCGAGAGGACCCTGGGGAAAGGCAACTTCGCCGTGGTCAAGCTGGCCCGGCACAGGGTGACCAAGACGCAGGTGGGTGCGCCGGGGATGGCGGTGGGGGCGCGGCGGCTCCGCGGAGCTGCGGAACCCGCGGCTGTATCTGATGCGGCGTCCTGCTCCTCGGAGCTTCAAGTTTTCCCGCTGCGTGTAAAATTAAAACCGAGCAAGGATATATGTAAAAAAACCAAAAACCAAAAACCAACAACCTCAAACTACCCCATTTCTGAGTGTTACGGTACCTTCACTGAATTACACTCAGTTTGCTGAGAAGCCCGACACGTTAAGGGTCTTCGGAAGACTTTTTGTGGGTTTAGGTTTTTTTCTCGTTCAAGAACAAAGAACTTGGGGTGTTATTCGCAGAAATAATTTATTAATGGGTAGTGCAGACGTTTCTATATTTCTACTGCATGTCAAAATCGTATCAGTCACCACAGTAGGAAATAGTCTGTTAGAGGAATCTGTTTTTTCCTTGCATGGGACAGATTAAAAGATTTGCAGAATCCTGTCCAGTGCTAATTTCTGCAGTTTTGTTCACTACCTTATGTATAATCCTTTGACGTAGAAAAGAAAAACGAAAACGTTCTGTGCTGGGAGTTCTGTGTGGTTCAGGAAAACAGAATCAGCTTTGTCAAGTCTGTACTTTAAAAGCTACTTTAAAAGCTACTTGGGTTTTGTGAGTAGTGTGTCTGTTCAGGGGGTCTTTTTGTTTTTTTTTAAGGTATCTAGACAGTGAGAGTACCTATTTTGTAATACCTGGGGTTGTTTTTAAATCTGCAGGTTGCAATAAAAATAATAGACAAAACAAGGTTAGACCCAAGCAATCTGGAGAAGATTTATAGAGAAGTTCAGATAATGAAGCTTTTGAATCATCCCCACATTATCAAGCTATATCAGGTAAGAGTTCACCTTTGGAGTGCAGCACGCAGATGAAGTACACTTGTGCTCCTCTCCTGCACATGATTTTACATCTAATATTTGCAGAGAGGACGGATATTGAAATATTTTTCGAAAACCATTTGAAATAAATGGGGTATTTTAAAATTCTTCATTCTTTGAACAAGACCCTGGTACCTTAGACAGCTTTTTGACAAAATGCGCTGTAAAATTTACAGTTAAAACCAGGCTGATGTTTGTTTGGGATCGAGGAGCAGGCTATCTGAACTTCTGTGATTACCTTGCCTTTCCTTTCTCCTCTGCTTTTCCAGTTTAGAAGACTGGAACTTCTTACGGGCTTTTGATAAGAGGAAGGCTTAAACTCCTGTAGGGTTGTGGAGAAAGAAGCATAAAAGTTGAGTTTACCTTAAGCAGAAGGGATTTAAATCAAAAACAATTAAACCTAATTAATCTAAGTAGAAAATATAAGTGGAATTCTAATATAAGGAATAAATTAGTAAAAAAAATAAAAGGTGGTAAATATTGGTATCTTAGAATATACTTAAAAACGACCTGTTTGGTTATTCTGTTCTACTTTGTGTAGTTTTGAAAGTGAATTTTGAATATCTTTGACCTTGTAGAGTTTCATAACATGAATTTTGTTGCAGATCTGTTCAGTGTCTGCACTCATGGGTAGTTTTAACCATAGGAACAAATTACTGTGTTGGGCAGAAAGCAGGATCACAGGGATCACGAGGACTGCTTTGTGAATTCTAAATATTCGATCTAATTAGCCTTTGGTGTAAGTTCCTCTTAATCATCTTAAATAATGCTGTGTGGATTTAAGAAGAAGATGATAGAACAGTTTGGGTTGGAAGGGACCTTTAAAGGTCATCCAGTCCCAAGCCCCTGCTGTGAGCAGGGATGAGGTATCAGCTTGTCTGGACCTGTCTGGAAGGGCAGGGTGGAGAGAGGGGGAGATGGATGAAGCAGCAGGTCTGAAAGTCCCTGTGGAGTAGCAAATACTGTTATCACTTGTGATCTCACTGTTGGGTTTGTTAGCTTAAAAAGAAATTAAAAAAAAAAGAAGTTTAATTAACGTGTAAGGCTAAAGAGCTAGTAAGGCAGGTGCTTAGGCAAGGCATTATTTTTGAAGACCTTGACACACACGAAGTGTTTGTATTTATAGTATTAGCCATCATAACAAAAATGGTTCTGTGTTAAGAGCTGACGTCATGACGGCCCATGGGGCAGCTTAGGATATACAGAAACATTCTAACAGTTCGGTTGACTTCATTTCAGTGGAATGATGCGGGTGAAAATACTATTTCGAAGCGTTTAGAAAAGCAGGTTAAATTCCATCTAGTTGAACCACTTCACTTGATGGAGCAAATGACGTTGGTAGTGGACCATAATTTCTCTTCAGTGAAGTTTTCTTTTCTTTGTTGTTGTAACTGATGCTTTACCTGTTTGGTGGAGGCTGAGAAGCAGGGATGGAATTAGATGACATACCAAAGTAGGGTGTGTGTTCTTGTATTATTTCATCATTGTTTTAGTTTCAGCACCACGTCTTAATTTCATCCAGCTGGCAACTTTCCCAGAACACTTTCCTTCAGTTTTTTGAAACTGGGAACCTCTCTTCCTTTGCTCCCTGTTTGTTTATTTTCATTTCGTGTCTGTGTGTACTTGTAGTGAGGGGAGGACAAGAGTCTTTGAAAAAGGTTACATGTTAGGAGCCTGGAAATTACAGCCTTTGAAGTAGTATTGGCCCTTTTTTTTTTTTTTTTAATTTTGATTGTTAACCTGTTGTGAGCCTCCTGCTCCAAAACAAAGCATCTGCTCCTTAAGAGGGAAATGTTTCTGGGGAAAGGTTTTTTTTTAAATTCGGAAACGCAGTGTTTGAAAGGTGTGCTGTGGTAACTGAAGATGAATTTGGAAGTGCTCAGCATTTCTCATTCATCATTAAGGTTTTGGTTCTTCTTCTTTTTTTTTTTTTTTTAACTCCTAAGGACAAAATTGTGAAATATCAAAGCAAGTTGATACTAGATTGATAGGTGAACTCTGGCTGATACATTGACAGTTGTTGATGTGCATCAAGCACTGCTGTTACACGAACAGCAACCTGTTGTCACTTGCACAGGAGGCTGGACCTGTCCCAGCCAACTCCAAGCAGGAGCGGGGGATTTGATATTCCTTCTTGATTTGTCCAAGTTGCAGCTATTTCTGCTGATCTGAGCCCCCACTAGCCTTGAAACAAAGACAACTTTAGATGAACTTTGGGTGTTCTTTGCATGTTCAGCATACAACAAGAGAACTGTAAAACTGTATGTGCACATTTCAGCAAAAGAGGAGTTCAGGGAAGTGTGTGAAATTATCGAAATGCTCATCTATTATCATATGGAGATTGGGTGGTGTGGAAACGGTGAGAAGAACAATGGCCTGGGAAACCATTGTATAGTGTAGGCACATAAGGATTGATTTGTTATCTTTTTCATTATCAGTGTGCTTGGAGAGAACACTGTGGTGCAAAATTAGCTGCCTTTACTGCCAGCTGCCACGGCAAATAAAAAATTGAACTGATATGTGTGAGAATACACGTTGAGAAATGAATGAAATTGCAGACCTCTGCTGTTTTTTAAATCATGTCCTTTTTTGTCTTCACAGGTTATGGAGACAAAGGATATGCTGTACATTGTTACTGAGTTTGCAAAGAATGGAGAAATGTTTGGTAAGTCCTCACTGCTGGATCTAGCAGCTCTTTAGATTTAGAAAATCTTGGGTTTATTGTTGTAATTCCTGAATTGTAGGTATATTCTGATTAAAAATCCAGGGTTGGCATTATCAGCTGTCGAACAGCGAGCACAGCACCTGCAGGATTATGAAGAATTTCCTCCAGGCGTTTCTAAATCCTGTGCCTCTCTGGTTTTGTCTTGCAGATCATCTGACCTCCAACGGGCACCTGAGTGAAAGTGAAGCACGGAAGAAGTTCTGGCAGATTCTTTCAGCGGTGGAATATTGTCACAGCCACCACATAGTGCACAGGGATCTCAAGACAGAGAACCTTCTGCTAGATGCCAACATGAATATCAAGTTAGCAGGTAATAAGAAATATGAGGTTACTCTATAAACAACACTAGGCATGTACTCAAATTTAGTATCCCTAGGGTGATCCTATAAATGTATTTATGCTGAGTGAAAATAAGACAAAGGTTACTGATATTTCTCAGAACGTATTTTCCAAAGAGAAGAAAATAGCTTGAATGAATAGGCAGAGAACAAAACAACACATCTGTTCCTTTCTCTACATCGTTTGCTACTTCTGAAATATATAGTGTGTGGTTGTCCTACCCCAGACTTTTACCTTCGTTTCAGACTTTGGCTTTGGAAACTTCTACAAGTCGGGAGAGCCCCTCTCCACTTGGTGTGGAAGCCCACCCTATGCAGCTCCAGAAGTTTTTGAAGGCAAAGAATATGAAGGACCTCACCTTGATATATGGGTGAGCTTGCTATTAATCAAAAACCACATTTCACGCTGCGTGAGGGTCTGTGGGCTTCCAAAGTCATTGTTCTTCCTGGAGTCACTCATATGCTGTGCTGTTTTCTGTTGACAGAGCCTTGGGGTGGTACTGTATGTCCTTGTCTGCGGTTCTCTGCCTTTTGATGGACCCAATTTGCCAACTCTGAGGCAAAGAGTGCTGGAGGGGCGGTTCCGCATCCCATACTTCATGTCCGAAGGTGCTTTTTTCCAGATCCTTAATGTTAGAACAGGTCCTACAAATAAAAGAACAGCTGTCCTGTTTGCAGCTGGGAATTACTTTATGTATCCAGTAATTTCTGTGGGGCAGCACTTAGAGCTGAGGGGCTGGTTGCACACGTTTTCTTTTCTGGGATCTGCCTTATGGTGCATCTAAAAGGCTGGTGTTTCCTTTCTTAGAGTATCCCTATGGATTACAGAAATACCTGACATCCTAGCTGGAGAAATAATCACTGACAAAAGAGAGAAAACTGGATTTTAATGAGGCTAGCCTGCAGTGCTGAGATGGGTGTAGTTCTAAGATATTTTAGCTATGCAGAGGGGTGTATTCCAGTGTGACTGTGCTGCCAAGGGGAGCAGAAATAGTGGGACTTAGCACTGTTTCTTGAGCAGTCCCAACAGTCTGATGAGAAAAAGGAACTGAAGAATATTATTACCTCTCTCTGATCTGGACTCAAAACAAGTGAACACAACTCTGTCTTCACGTGAAAATTATCTTACAAAGTCTGACCTTTATCATTCATAGCCATGAACAGCTTTGATTTCCTGGTTATAAATGAATAAGCAGTATATATGGATCAGGAAGTTGTATGTGATGGGGTTCTGTACTAAATTCCCACCTATTTTATGTGGATGTAGCAACATTAAACCTGTATCCTCTCAAAACTAGCTCTTGTGCAAGGTGCAAGGCCACCTGAAACGTGCCAATACCCAGTGCAGCCTTATTTCCTGTAGTGACATGTTGCTTTTGTGGTATATGTGGGGACATCTCTTGTGCTGTTTGGAATATCTGACGGTCAGATCAGGCATCAGCTGCTCAGAAAACCTTTAATTCGTGTTCTCACAGACATCACACACTGTTGCTGGGAAGGGTTCTTAGCAGTGACCTGGGGCTGGGCTGTTATTTTTACGCCTTGCTCATGAGTTTGTCTTTGTCATCCAGACTGTGAAACACTAATCCGACGGATGTTGGTTGTGGACCCAACCAAGCGGATAACCATTTCCCAGATAAAGCAGCACAAGTGGATGCAGGCTGACCCATCCCTTCAGCAGCAGCAGTCCTTGTCCTTCTCCATGCAAAACTACAACTCCAACCTGGGTGACTACAACGAGCAGGTCCTTGGGATCATGCAAACGCTTGGCATCGACAGGCAGAGGACTGTGGAGGTGAGAAGTGCTTGCCCTGTAGATACATCTTCAGTGACTACCAGAATTCCAGTGGTGCAGTCATATGTGTGTCATGCAGTGACTGGCCTTGATCCGGTGTCACAGCACAGTAAAATCTTCGCTGCCCTTCTGGATTTTTGCTTGATTTCTGAGTGTGCTGTTACGAGGCCTAAGTGATGAGTTTTGGCTGCTCGTATCCTGAGTGACCTGCAACTCAAAAGGGTCCTTTCAATGTCTCCCAGTCTCTGCAGAACAGCAGCTACAACCATTTTGCCGCGATTTACTACCTGCTCTTGGAGCGCCTCAAGGAGTACCGGAGCAGCCAGTTGTCCAGTCGTCCGGCAACCGGCCGCCAGCAACGGCCCAGGAGCTCCGAGATCAGCAACGCTGAGGTGAGGAAAGGCACTGGCACAAAGATGTGTCCTTTGGATCCCTTTTTTTTTTTCTGTTGCTTGCGATGGGAAAGTACAAGGTTGTCACTGTCAGGCTTCTTGAAAAAAACAATTCTGGTGTTGGTGCCGTCTGATAGGACACAGCCTGCTGTTCTTCAGCAGGGGGCTGATTGAATACTTATGTCCTGTTTCCTAAGAAGTGACTGTGGGTATAGGTCCAAAGAATGGTCTGCCTCCAGTGCAGGTCAATAATAAGCCAGAAGACTTGACTTCTCATTTTTTGTCCTCTTGAGCATGGCTCGGTAACATTTCTTTGTTACATACCCTGTGGGATCCTCAGAAGTACTCCATGAGTCAGTTCTTGTGTTTCTCTGACATTCTTTTTCTTCTCCTCACTCCCACCCCCTTTCAAGTGTGGTCTGGGTGCCTTTTAAAATTGCACTTCCAGTTAAATTGCCTAACTTAGCAGAAGGAGTTCTGTGTTTGTGTTGGCATTGATGGATTAGCTTTGGTAATTTTCATAGAAAGTACAAAGAAAAAGCTTGCAGGGAAGGTGGCTCTGAAATTCTTGGAGCCTCCAGTGTCTCAAAAGTCATGTGGAACTGCAGTGTATGTGATGGCTTCTGTGCATCACTCTCTTTCTCCAGATGCCTCAGGACAGTCTCTCTAGCGAAACCCTGCGATCATCTCTGCTTTACCAGCAACCTCAGAGCCTGATTCAGCCATCCTTGCAGGCAGAAATGGACTGTGATATAAGCAATCCATTACAGGTTGGTGTTCTCAGCTAGACTGTGTGTTACTTTCCCACCCTCCTCCCCCTGCCCATTGTTCCGCTAATCCAAAAGAATGGGGGTTGTGACTGTTGTTCTCTCCCTCCAATCTTTTGTTTGGCATTTGGGCCTGGTGTCACTGTAGCCTCTCAAACAATACTTCTATTGAAGGCATGAAGGACTGCCGAGGGTGTTAAAAGGTAGTGCAGAAACAAGCAAAACACCCTAAAGTCTGTGATCTGACGATGTGTTTTTCAGCCTGTGTTCTTCCCTGTGGATACCAACTTCAACGGGCTCTTCCGGAACCGCTCCATCTCCCCCAACAGCCTGCTGGAGACCACCATCAGCGAGGAAGTAAGGCAAGAGAAGGAGCTGGAGGATGAAATCAAGGCGTATGACCACCCCATCCGCATCCCTAGCAACACCAGCAGGAGGCACACGCTGGCCGAAGTGACCACCCATTTCTACCAGCACGCCCCTCCATGTAAGTAAGTCTGGGAGAGATGAAGGGTGTCCGTAGGTAGAGGAAAAGAAGAGAGAAGGAGTGCCATAGAGGCCAAATGCCTAGGGAGTATATGCTGATTTTACCTTGACTGGGATAGGAAAGCCCAGAAAAGAGGTCTGTGCTCTGCCCTCCACAGTCCTGTCTTCCCACAGATAAGCATAACCCTTAAAGAAGAGAAGGTGTGCTGTTGTGTTTCATCTAAATCACTTCAGCAGGGAGCATTCTCACGAGCAGGACAGAAGCCTTGTCTGCTTGCTCCTGCTGTTGTACCAGGGGAGGAGGGAGTGCCTGAACTTAACGAAAAACTCATCGCTGACTGTATTTAGTACATAGCCGGGCCCTGTGAACCAACCAAACAAGCACAACTGTTCACAAGACAATAATCCTGGTGTTGCTGAAGAGACACTGTGTGCCTGATCCAGCATGGCCTGGTTGGAGGCTGGAGTTGCTGGCAGAGCCCTGCCAGCTGGACAGGAGCCCAAACTAAGGTTATTTGTTGATGACCCCTTGCTGGAGTCAAGCCCTGCAACAACACGAGTTGCTGGACACCTCTCCAGCTCGCAGCTGCTTATTAGTGCCAGTGTAGGTGGGCAGGAGGCTCTGATGTCATGTTTGTTCCTTCCCGTACTCATCTTGGGAATGCTCTTTCTCTCCTTCCTTGCCCTCTGTAGGTATAGTCATTTCCTCTTCTGCCAGCCCCACAGAGGGAACTAGTTCAGACAGCTGCCTTACTTCATCTTCAAATGACAGCTCAGTGGCCCTGAGCAGCTGTTTGGCAGGTCAAGTAATGACGGGGAGCCCGGCCACAGTGAGGATGACGTCGCCCTTCCTAACTTCCCAGTCTGACGCTCCGGTGTTACAAGCCCAGGGCTGCATGGGAGGCGCTTCTCTCCTGCCTGTCAGCTTCCAAGAAGGAAGGCGAGCATCTGATACCTCATTAACTCAAGGTAATGCCTTCCTTGCTTCGTTGCTGGGGAATTGCAGCCTTCCAACAGCCTCTAGGAAAGGGCAGGATGCAGGGATCCTTGCGTGTCCGTGTCGGTTTGTTGTGCTGAGGCCGGACGTTCTGCCTCTTGTATTCATGGTCCCTGAGGGAGGGTTGGGTGCCCTGAGGGAGGTGCCTAGAGGAAAAGTTCCCAGATACGGATTGAGCCTGCCCATGGAGATATTTCTGCTGCCGTGAGTGGGATGGCAGGCTCCACCTTCCTCCTAAAATACGGAATGCACAACGTCATGATTTCTGTCAGGTTTCTCCTTTGCTGTGTGTGTCCATCTGCTGCTGTCCCAACCCCTGTTCTGTCACCTAAATCCTTCCCTGACTATGAGGCAGAGGGGTGGATGTGAACTGAAGAGTCTTGGTCTCCTCCAGCACACGTGAAGGGAGCTGCCCTCTAGAAAGGCTGATCTGTAAAGTGTGCTCCTAGGTGAGTGCTGAGGGGGATTAAAGCGCATTTCTTTTCCTCGTGTCCCACAGGCTTGAAGGCTTTTAGGCAGCAGCTGCGGAAGAACGCTCGAGCCAAGGGGTTCCTCGGCCTGAATAAAATCAAAGGCTTTGCTCGGCAGGTGTGTCAGTCCTCCTCATCTCGGGCAGCGAGGAGTGGCATGAGCCCCTTCCAACACACACAGCCCAACACCTGCCTGTACAGCAGCACTGGGAGCAGCAGAGAGGGCAGAAGCCTCCTGGAGGAGGTGCTGCAGCAGCAGAGGTGAGGGAGGAGCTCTCCTGTTTTCGAGGGGTTTACTTTGGTTTGGGGTAAGCGAGGAGGGGTAAAGCCGAAGAGTTTAGGGGTTTGGTCGCTGGGGATTCCTGTCCTCCATCTTTGCTGTGTGGCAGCAGGTAGAACTGCTTGGCTTCCTTTGTGGCTTCCTGCCCCAACTGCGTACCACAGGATGTGCAATTCCACTCAGAAAATCTCAACGTCCAAATATTTGGAGGTTGCTGAATTCAGAAGCAATTTAGTAGTGTGGGGGGGGAAAGCATTGCCTCTCCCCATTGCAAGCTGTGTTTTTCTTTGTTAGTTTTGGGAATGATTTCTTTCCTTCTCTGCCTCCTCCTGTAATTTTCTCATGGCAAGGAAGTGAGACCTTGTAATTTGGAAAAGTTACAGCCCACAAAGGAGGCACAGTTCCAGTGGCCTCAAATGTCATGTGTGGTGGCACCTCTTCATTCCCATAGAAGCAAGATGGAAAATTGAGCTTCCGGTTTATCTGCACACGTTGTCTTTTAGAACATCTATTATTAGCTGGCCAAGTGGTGACTAGATAAACTTTCTGGGGATAGTGGCTCTCTCCAGCATGAGGAAAAGCCATGTGAAAACAGGTTGGCCTGGCATGGGCAGCTTGATTTGATTAGACTGGCTGGGTAAGGAGAGGTTTGATAGAGAGAAGGAAACAAAGGGGAAAATTATGGTCAGGGTTAGGGACAAGGAATGAAGGAGAAAGGCATTAAACCATCCTAGCAATGCAAATTAACCTCTTCCACCCTGGCATTTTTTTTTTTTTTTTCCAGAATGCTCCAGTTCCAGCACCACCAGCTACTCCAGACAGCTTGTCCCCAGACTCCTCAGACACCTGCAGCGAACGGCGTCCCCTCCCCGGAGAGCCCAGGCACCTGCAAGGCGTCCAACTCCATCCTGCTGTCGGAGCTGCAAAGGGAGAACTCCTTTGAGCTGGCCTTTGCCGGCAGCAGCCAGCTGCTCCAGCCCCACTTCCTCGGCGTGAGCGTGTCCCCGGTGTCGTCGGCGGCTCACCTGCTGGACACGCGCCTGTACATCAGCGGCAGCGCCTCCCCCGTGGGCGCCGCCTTCTCCCAGCAGCAGAGCTTCCCCGCGCAGTCCCCGGGCTACGACGCCGTCGCTCTGCAGCACGGGGACTGCGAGATGGAGGACCTGACCTCCAGCCGGCTCGGGAAGTTCGTCCTGGTCAAGTGAGAGAGAGAGCCCTGGCTGCTCCTGTCGGGGAGGACTTGTCGCCACCGTTCCGTGTGGCTGGCCTGGCGTCGTGTGGACGAGCGTGACTCTCAGAAGCAATAAAATTTTTTTTGAAGTATGTGAAGAGGCTGTCTGGCTCGGAAAGCTGGCAACTTTATAGGACTGAAACAAGCAATATGTATGTCTTTTTTTTTTTTTTTTTTTTGCTTCTACTATTCTTGCACTGAACAAATACGAATAGGAACTGAAAAAATTTTTTTTTTTTTTTTTAAAGGAAAAATAATGATGGGGAAGATGGGTGGGGCATTTGTGGGGACAGGGAGGGATGTGGTTGGGGAAGAACTCTTCGGTACTGTACTCAAGTCAGACCAATACAGCTCTGCTGTTATGCAAGATTAGCAGCTGTCAGTAGTGGTGACACAGCAGGGAGAGGCTTTTCAAAGAAGGGACCAGAGCCTCCCTTTTTCACAATATTCATTTATGGGTTTGTGAAGATGATTACCTCTTTTAAAGAAAATAAACAGAAAACCAGTGGCATGCAGCATTATGCATTCATAGGAGACAAAAATGGAAGCATTGCCATTTGTTGTTTTTTTCTTTCCCTCCTGTTAACACTCGTCTTATTTAAAGGAACAAACATCCCCATTCCTCACCTCCCAGATACACACACTTTAAATGAAAACTGTGAACTTCTTGCTTGATACATCAGCTGGAAAAGCTTAACGTGCCCTTCTAATTAGTACAGAAGCAGTAACTATTGAAACTGTATCCCTTGGTATCAGGATCCAAATTGCATAATGCCTGGTCTTTTGCAGGAATGTTTGTTTAGGAGTGGCGTGTGTCTACATATACACACATGCACACGTGCATATATTTTGTTGGTCTGGATAATCTTTAGGAATCTTTTTATAAATTCTTAAGTTTATTCGTATTCTTGCAGAGGCACTGAGGAGGGAAGCAGCAGTACCAGTGGGGTGATGGGAAGGGTTTTCTTTTTAAAAAGCCCCTCCTGGATGTTGCCTACAAAGTTGCCTGAGGGGTATTTCTTAGTGCTGCACATTGTTATTTCAGCTGCTAATTATGTTTTTATGCATTTCATTATCAGGGTCCAAACAGAACTGACTCTTGGGGAAATGTGCAATATTGAGGTTATAATTATATATTGACAAAGACAAAAGGAATAGGCTAGAACAGAATTCTACTCTAACGGAGTACAGCTTTTTCTGAACAAAACTGCATTAAAAAGTGAGTAAAACAGCACAATCTTTGGGTGTGTTTGTTTTTGGTTGGTTTGTTTCTGGCATATTAGCAAAACAAGGTTTTGGATTAGATAGGTGTTTTTTTCGTATGGTTTTTAATGCTGTATATGTATATAAATAGGAAGCAGAAAACTATATAACACTAGTTATTTTTTATATTTTGTAATATGCTTATGTTATGTTTCTGGTATAAACCCCAGCTCCCCTTCCAAGGCAGACCATGACTTCGGTTGGTGTCAGTAGAGGTTTTGCTTGGGTATGAAGGGGAGAGCAGGCTGTGCTCCTACAGAAATGAGTCAAGGAGTGCGTGTGAACTTTGGAAGCAGGTGAGCAGAGAGTGAGCCAGCTTGGCTGGAAGCTGCCATCTGAACGTCAGAAAATAGCTGCATTTAAATGCTTAAAGGACCCATCTCTCTAGTGTGACACAGGGTGCCTTCAAGTTACCTTGACTTCATGCAACCTGCAGTATTATGCATTTGCAAATAATATAGAGACCTTTTTTTTTGTTTGTTTTGTTGTTTTGTTTGGTGTTTTTTTTTGTTTTGTTCTGTTTTGTTTTTTTTCTTAAGAAAAAAGCCAAAGATTGACCAGGTTAATTGGTGGGAGTAGGAAGGGTTGAAGATGTCATGTGGCTCTGTCTGTGGCTCTCCATAAACAACCTCTATCTGTGTGTTGTACCCATGTGTCTGTATTGGTGAATCCCAGGCTTGCCACTGCTGCTCCATGGTCTGGAAGCTTCAAAGTGGGAGAAAATTGGTCGAGTTGAACTCCTGTTAATGGGTGGTGCCTTGCAGCAGAGAAAACACCAAAGTCTCATGCTCATTAGTAGTGTGAGTTTAAAACAAGCAAACAAACAACCCCCCAAAAAAACCCCAACCCAAAAAAGAGAGTGCATGGGGATGGCTGGGAGAGGAGGGCAAGAAGAAACCAGCTCGTCACAAAGCAGCAACTTTGCCTTCGGTTTTGCAAGGGGTAGCACACGTACTTAAACCACAGAATTTCCTCTTCAATATGTGTTTTGTTTAATGCCATGGATCTAAAGGCCACAGATTCTTTTGTTTCCTGTCCTGAGCAATGACAAGCACTTTACTTTCATAGTATTTTTTTTTTCTTCTTTTCCAATTGCTGTAGAACCTCTTTGGAATTATTGCTGGAGCAGAAAGAGGTCATTTTAAAAGTCTGGGTTCTTTTGTAGATATCTCGACAGTGCTGTTCTGCAGACTGCAATGCAATAGGGTATTTAAAGACACTACGTGATTGGTTTAATTGAGATGTATATTTTATTTTTTATCATGACTGAACAATCATCTTATTTCTTATGTTAAAATGAGAGGTGTACACCAAAACGATTAGTTGATGTGTTTTATTTAATATTTAAATAATAAAAAAAAAAAAAAAAAGAAAAATGTTTTAAAATCGTTGTCCTGCACATGGTTCTGTGGAGCGATGCTCACGTAACTCGCGCGGCTGGGACCAGTTTTTAAAGCCGAGGCCCGTAGGACGTTCCTGACACCTTCTGTTACATCCCGAATGAAGAGGAATGGCGGGCTCACAAATCTGATAATGGGATATTGAGCCTTTCGCTGGTAGGCAATCTGTCTGAATCTAACCCAAGTCTGTGGTAATCGGGTTATAAAAGCCGGCAGTAACAGAGATGGCCGAGCGTGGTTTTAGTCGCTACCAGATGGGCGCTCCCTCCGTGTCACCTTCAGCTGAGAGAGGCCCCAGCCAGATTAAGGCAGTCACTGCAAGAGAGCAGAGAGAGGGAGGGAGAGATTCAAGGGGGTGGGGGGGATTGGGGGGGGAGTGGCTTTTCTCTTGTAAAATATAACATGAGAATTAAAAAAACTACTGAAAAGGCTTTATATTCAGCTCATGCAGTCAGAATGAGGGCAAGGAAGGGTTTCAACCTGCAAAGGGACCCCTAAAGATTTGCCAGCTTTAGTTTGACCTGGCAAACACTCAGAAAAAAATTAAAAATTCCTGCAAACAAAGAGTGGTGGGGTTTCTGGGGAAAAAAAATAATTAAAAAATTGATCCTTATTCTGAAGTTTTTATTTCCAAATCACCTACCACATTTTGAAAGAAAGGAGAGTGATGGAAAGGTAAATCCAAAAAGCTAAATAAAACCTGGGGGCAGGGGAGAACAGAAGTAATATTTACTTATTTTGCTTTCTGAAGGAGTTGTTTGCTGAGAGAGAATTTGTAGAGCTGTCTGTGCATTTGCCATGACTCTTGAACTGGTAGAAAAGTGTCATGCCCATGTTTTTCGAGGGTTTTGTTTTCAATGTGACCATCCAAAGTTAGGAATTTTGCAACTCTTAAAATATAATGGAGGTATTCTGAATTATCATTTATTAGGCTTTAGGATGACCTCGTTTAAGGATAACCCCCAACTGCTGTTTTCAACTTGGTTCTCAGGACGTTATATTTTAAACTCCAGTAATTCGGAGAAATTTGAGAAAGTTGCTTCTTAATGGATGCAGCTCCACCAGCTTTCATTGACATCACTGACCCTTGGGTATAGAGGGATCCTGACAGCATCATGATTTCTGTGAAATGTTAGGAAAAACAAGGACAAAGAAACCCTGAGATTTTGGACTCCGTTTCCATGTGTACAGTGCTTCACCCTCGGTGCTTTAGTCACTGTCTTCCTGCCTTTCCTCTCAAATCTGTCTCTGCTCCCATTTACAGCATTTGTTTTTGTCTTTAACATCTCTCAAGATGCTGTTTTTCTTGGCTTCATTTCTCACATTACAACTTGGTACCTAGTTCCTTTCCTTTCTTTCCCAGCCCGGGATCAGTGTGTTTTTCCCTGCCTTTCAGATGGAACAGATGCTGGCAAGTTTTGCACAACCCCAGCAGTGAATGATCAAAACTTGTTGGGTTTGTGGTTTGGTTTTTTTTGGTGTGTTTTTTTTTTTAAAAAAAGGAAAATCTTAGAGCTGGCAGAAGATGCCAGACTGGCAGTAATGAAAAACACAGGCTGTTTTTGCACTGAGAAAGCTGAGCACAGACACTGAGCTGAGCGCTCTGGTGCCAGTGTGGTCCAGCCACAGGAGTGAGGGATTCTCACCTGCCCCTCTCCTCCTGCCCTCTGGCAGGTGATGCACAACTTAACCCCAGATCCACGACCTTCTCCTTCGCTGTGCCCAGCACAGCAGTCACACCTCAGTGAGGAAAGGAATTCCTCGTGGAAAAAGCCATCCTTGTGTAATCTTGGCCTGTGTCAGCTGGGAGGGAGAAGCAGCAGAAGGGAAGAGCGGTTGAACGTACAAAATTATGGGGCAGGAGATGGAAAGTGATCGGTGCTTCCTTTTTACTCACCCTGCAAAGTGAGAATTAAGGCACATGTCATGCAATGAGGGGGAATTAATTTAAGACTGATAAAAGGAAATATGTGCCCCGGGAGGACATTGCTTCAAATGCACTTGCTGGCTTATTTCACGACTGCTAACTACTTTTAGTGGTGACAGTTAAATCAATGATAAAGGTAATCCACTGTCATGGTTTATGGACTTAGCAGAGCAGCTGAGGGAGATCAGGAAAGAGCTGGCCTTTGGTACAGACTGACAGGGGCATGAGAGATTTTTAGGGCAGAAATGCATTTCTCCCGAGGCATCAGATACCAAAGCCTGCCAAAGGCAAAACTTTCACGTGAGGTGAACGAACGTGATCATCACCTGCAATAAATTCCAATTTCTTAATAAACATGCCATATACAATGTCTTATGCAGTGATAGCGGCCCAGACCAAGGGTCCAGCTAATCAAGCAGCTCATTTCAGCAGCAGACTCTGAGGTAAAGGGTGTAAGGACAGGGCAAGCATAGCACAATTCCTTCGTGGCGTTACCAGCTCAGTAGAGAGCAGACTGTGGTTAAGAGAATTTTTGACTGGCATCTGGGTCATTGTGTTTAACAGCTGCAGATGGGTCGAGCCTCCAAGAATTTGGCTAACCCCTTTTGGAATTCTTTTACAATTCTGGCCTTCACAGCATCCTGTGGCAACAAGTGTCATAATTCAATTTCGCATTGTGTGAAAGAAGTACTTCCTTTTCTTTGCATTAGACATCCAGACTGGGCTGTGCTGCCTTTCCCTTGTGATAGAAGACACAACAAGTAATGATCTCCTGTTCACACTTCCAGACTGCTCATGAGTTGTCAGGATCTCTCTCACATCCCTCCTCAGCTGAGGTGACCAAGAACTCTGTTGTAGTCAGCCTGCCAATCATTACATGTTCTTGTGCCACCTCTTTCTTATCTTCATGGGTTCTTCTACATCCCCCTTGGTGCATGCAGGGCTGCACCCTGTGTTTGAGGCAGGATACCCCAGAAGGAGTCACTTTCTCACTCTCTCATCATTCTCAAGTCATTCTTAAAGCTCTTTTTTGCCTTGTTGATGCCTGTTGAGCTGGAGTTTTCAGCTAACTCAGTGACTGAGGTCTCCTTCCTGCGTGATGGTAACTTAGAGCCCCTGATGGTTTTTGTATGGCTTGGGTTGGCGTTTGTCACACTCCTCACTTTTAATTTGCTGCTGTCAAATATCATAGGTGATTTCATCATCCTGTCATTCAGTTTTCTGAGATTACTCTCTACCTGGTTGCAGCTGGATTTTTTATGAGTATGTCAAGTTGCTCAGATCTTGACATGAATGGATTTGCAATGCCTGAGCTCTCACTTAACAAACTTTGCTCTTTCCCACTCTATCTAAGCTATTCTGCTCTTTGTTACTGCTTTCTGTCAAAAAGCCTTGCCCGGCTTTCCAGCCCACAGGTCTCTGGATGACCTCTAAAAGCCCTTTTTAAGAATGAATGTAACATTTGCCACCTTCCATTCCTGTGGTGCCTCGCCATTTCAACAGCTGCTGTGGTATTGTGCTGAATAGGTCAGCAGTTTCAAGTCTGAGTTCCCTCAGAGCTCTTGAGTGAAACCGTCTGGTCCCAGCAATCTGCTAATATTACTTTTTATTGTTGTATCCTGAAATCTCTCCTACTGACACTTGGAG